GTTTATAAACTGACATCAATCATATGGTGAAAAACTGACTGAAAAATAAATCTGTTTTTTTTTTATAAAAGTCTAAATAAAACAAAAAATATTGGTGGTAATTTTTACTGTGTAACTTTACAAACGGCACCCCATATCGGAGCAAGACACACATTTTCATGTACAATTCACACTGTTTGGAGACATTTTTTAAAAACAGTAACAATCTTTGTACATTGAAGCACCTTTGCTGTACCATGACCTATTAACACATGCAGTTTTATTTTTGTTTTTTGTCAGTGACTATAACTGACCTTATTGTGTAGTTAGAACAACACACACTGATGAATGTCTGTGTGATTGCAGGTGTCTAAAGCAGCAGCAGACTTGATGTCTTACTGCGAAGCTCATGCCAAAGAGGACCCTCTGCTGTCACCGGTGCCGGCCTCAGAGAACCCGTTCAGGGAGAAGAAGTTTTTCTGTTCCATCCTGTAAACTCAGCAGTCTGCCACATGTGGGACGCTGAACGTGGACGTTCAAAATATGTAGGAAACTTCCAGTAGGAGGGCATGGCAATTTCTTTTGCCCAGATATTGTTTGGCACTTGAAGTGTGATGTGTAACTAATAAATGGGTTGGAGTTTGTTGAAAGGTTGTTTATAAGAGGGATGATTTTCACCCAGAGATGTAACAGGWGATGGGACAACCAGTCAACCACAAGACGTCAGGTTGTGATGTGTACAAACTCAAAATACAAAGAATAAAACTCTTTGTTGTTCCTTTGATAATCAGATGTTGTGTAAAATGGTTGGAGGTGAATTAAGCACCAGTCAAACACCTGATTGTGGGATTTAGTTGGTTTATTTCCCCACTTTTGGCTATTTTGTCTGTTTTTTTTAACAAACATGTTAATGAAAACTTTTTAATGGGGACATTATTGCCTTTACACATTTCTGAATATCTGTTTGGGTGTATCATCTCCTTCCTCTTTCTGTTGTTTGTACAAAGCAAGTAAACTGTGCTGTACTGTGAGTTCTACGTGTTTGTGTTTGGATCATTAATTACTGCATGAATTACTTTCCTTTGTTCTGCAGAATATTAAAACATTGGGCCTCATGCAAGAACATGTTCGTATTCTTCTCCTAAATTTCTCTTTCTTTTGTTCGTACAAAGGGTTCGTA